TTGCCAGGCGGCTGTGTTGGTCCGATAAGGCGCGCTCCCTCTTGTCGCACCTCCTTCGCCTCCTTCTTCTTCTCCTCCTCCGCCTCCTCCTTCTGCTACTTCTTGGCCTCCTCCTGCAATTTTCCCCCTTTTCCTTGTGGTCCGCTTCTTCCTGTATCCCTTAGTCCTCCTTAACTTCCCTCTTCTTGCCCCCTACACCTCTTCCTACAAGGAACTATTTCCTTACCCTCTCCTTAGCTTCCACTTACCTTCCCCTTAGTCTCCACTTACCCTCCCCTTAGCCTCCCCTTACCCTCCCCTTAGCCTCCACTTGGGCACCTAAATTCAATTCTTTTGCAACTCTCGTCTTCCACCTTTTAATTTTCCTATCCCTGTTCCTCCTCTTCCTGTCCAAACCCTCTGCCGCTTCCGTTCCCTGGCACTTACCTCCTAGCCTCCTCCTTATCTCACTGCTGACACTGTCTCAGTGGCTCTCTCAGGGGGTAGGGAGGATGGGGGGAAGGATGCACAGTCTGTCGCTTCTCCGGGGTCTGAATGGGGTTATAGGAGCCATTGCCAGAATAAAAGAACTCTCTGTTTCATGTATAAAACAGAGATTTATATATATATAAATATATAATATATGTGTATGATTTCTTCCTTTCTTCCTTGCTTCTACACTTCCTCCTCTCCCCGTCTTTCTCTCCTCCTGCCAGACAAATTCTTCTTCATTAGCGCTCGGCCAAAACTCGTGTCAAAACAATGGGCAGCGCCGGAAAGCGAAACAGGTGAAACTTTCGTCCAAGCTTCTTCGGGATTAGGAAATTGTTTTCCCTACTCGCAAGTTTCCCCTGATGTGCATAAGATGCGAGTGTGATATGAAAATGATGAGTAAAATATGAGTGAAGAACAAGAATGTTATATGATGGTATATGAGGATGGAAAGTTATACCTCATATCTCTGTGGCTCATTGGCTTATCCTGAGTACATCAGAGTTAGCTTGGTCAACTATTTACCATTTTGAATACTGCTTTCTTGTCTGTTTTATCGATTTTCTTTAGAATTTTGTATGTCACTGTCATGTTTCCCCCATATTCATCTGTAACACCTACCTCATGGCAGTCTGGAAAGACGCGGTCTGCCCCTCCCTTCTTCTCCTGTTTTATAGCTGTCATCTGTGATAAAACTCGAGTAAGTTTGCCAATGAGACTTTCCTTCGCTGAGTCCATGTTGGTGCTTAAGAGATGAAGCCCAATACTTCGAGATCTTCCCCGAGTCTCATGTTGATTGGTTGCTTGAGTCGCTTGCAAGGAATTCTTGTGACATTGGTCATTGACAATGGCTCGGTATTGTTGGTTTTCTTCTCTTTCTTATATTTAGGTATTTCATTGACTCCTTCATTGCCCATGGCTGTGTTGCAGTGATGGGCTCTAAATTGCAGCAATGTCAGGCTTGTGTCACTGCCTTTAGGATTCATGGTAAGATCTCATATGTCGTCTCTAACCTTTAGACTTGCTTCCTTATTTATTTCGAGAGGTCATCACTACTATACAAAGTCTTATACTGAATGCAGGCGATGAGTCACAATAACGTGGCTGAAGTATGTCGACCAGACCACACACTAAAAGGTGAAGGGACGACGACGTTTCGGTCCGTCCTGGACCATTCACAAGGCGATCGACTTGAGAATGGTCCAGGACGGACCGAAACGTCGTCGTCCCTTCACCTTCTAGTGTGTGGTCTGGCTAACATACTCTTATACTGAATGACGTCTTTAGTAAGTACAAGGTCTCTCGGGTGTTCAGATTCCCCGACGAAGGTTCGCCTATAATCCCTCGTTTATTGCTTCACACACCTCTTTATCTTTCTCCACCCTTCCTCCCTCTTTTCTTGCACATTTTAATTACCAGGTAACTCAGACATGATTCCTGGGAGTATTTAAGGATAATCTGATCTTGTTCTTCGGTAGCTATGTCGTTCTCACATAGTCTCGATTTCTAGCCCTCATCCCTTATCTAGGTCTCATGTAGATCATTATATAAGTACGGTCATGCCTATCCTCCAGAGTCGCCACCTATCCACTTACTTAAATCCAATAACGAGACATATAGAGTGTCAAAGACTCTCAATACTCCTTGCTGTGATGCAGCCGTTCCATATGTAAATATTATCACCAGGTTAGGGAGCCGGTCGGCCGAGCGGACAGCACGCTGGACTTGTGATCCTGTGGTCCTGGGTTCGATCCCAGGCGCCGGCGAGAAACAATGGGGCAGAGTTTCATTCACTCTATGCCCCTGTTACCTAGCAGTAAAATA